GTGCAGTTTAGTTTCTTTTTCTTTTTTTTGCTTTTCCCTACACTCATTAACACCCACTGACTTCCTTTACACTTCGAAGTGTCATCATGCAGATTAAGAGAACAATAGCCTCCATTAGCATTAGTGTTATCATGGAAAGTGCTCATCAGATGGGAGAAGAGTGACCCGCGGAGGCTCATTAGCTCACGTGCTAAAACCTTGATCAGCGCCATTAGGAAGACAAGAGCCCATTGTCTTCTAGCTCACCTCTGAAATGATTCCTATGAAGAGCTCTGCTCCACAGGTTGTTGAAGTGCTTTGACTTTGATGCCGTGATCTTTTGTATATTGCATATGTCACATCTGTTTGTTATTTGCCCAATTACATCTAGTTAGATTTGTATCACTAGCAATTGTGGCACAAGAAAAAACAGAACTGCATTAAAAGTGACTAATTCACAGGAGTGCTAGGTGCCATTTTTACCTCAGGCCCATATGAGTGCTTCTGCTTTTTTGCCTTCCCAGCTCAAGTTAGAACAGTGAGTAAGAGTCATTTGATGTTGCTTGGGGAGTTTTTAGAACAGCGTGTTGTGCTGTGTGTATCTGTGGAGAAACAAGCCTGGATATGAGTGGTCCTAGCTGTGACTAGGTAAACTTACTAGGAAACAGTCTCTTGGGACCTCTAGTGCACTCTACAATTAGCTGATTATGTGAAGGGACACTGTTATGTGTTCACACTTATATCGCTAGAAAAAAAAGCAGCCTTTGCCTGACCTAAATGGCCTGCGAACAAGCTAGCCATGAAAATCCCCAATTCTTTTGCTTTGTTATCGGTACTTGAGTTGACCTTCCTGACTCTGTGGGAGGAAGGCTGTTGTTTTAACAAAACCAGCAGCGTTTACCTCAGCGCTGAATGAGGCGCCTCACCTTGAGACGGCATACTTGAGGTTTTGAATGGCACTGCTTTGTTTTACTTTGGTTCGAGTTGGGTTTTTTTGTAGTGGTTGGCTTCCCTGAGAAAATGGCATTGCAGAGCCGCAAGGGCAGACTTTGTGACGGCAGAGTCTGTCCTCTTTGAGGATGCCTGTGGTAGTTTCACCGCTGCCTGCTTGGCCCTGAGCTCCGAATGAGATAAGTGGCGTACCTCAATGAGGGAGCCTGTACCAAGGCTAAATATAGAGACAGAAGAGGGGTAGAAGGGCAGACAAAGAGTTGCTGCTGGTCGCAATGAGTCAATCCATCTAATCACAAGCAGAACAACAGCAGACCTCACAATACGTGTCAGTCAGTTGACTGAAATTAGTAGCAGGGAGAGAGCACACCCTTTGATCTGTCTCTTTAAGAGCCAAACTCAGAGAAAAGTGTTTTGGTTGGACATTCCAGACATACCTCCTACACATTCTGGTCGGCTGTTGGCCTGCACATAAGAGGTATAGGTTCCTTACAGATGTCCTCATAGGTAATGAATCAAGATAAAAGATTACTTCAGCTGGTAATGTGTTTGTTCACAGGCTATATATGTTTCTCTGTGCCCAAATCTACAGCTCCATTATTAAGCCAGTCACTCACACCTTGAGGGCCTCAAAGCACAGAGATAGTTTACTCCCACAGAGGCTGAGATACTGCCATTCCTATCGGACACGCCTCAGTGTAGGAAAGTACAAACTGAGCTATCTGCTGTTGTATGGGTACTCCTCTGCAGTGATTTTTAAGTTCTTGAAAATATTCATCAATCAAGCCGAGATCAAACACCAATAATCTAAAATAAGTGCCTGGATGTTTACATAATTACAGGACAGTAAGTGCTCAGAATCAACAAAATGAATCTGTGTTAGGGGACATATGGCCCTTCATGTTCTTGCTTGTGACAGATCAGTGACGACACGCCTGCCAAGGTGAGCCCCTCCAGTGAAGTAACACTGGACCTGTTTTGGGAGTAACCCACCCAGTCACCCATTCCTTTGCAAGTAATTGATACAGGCTGGCAGGTGTCATAACAACACAGGCGTCTCTCTCCAGCAGGCTTATTTAAGTGTGGCTGACATGGACTGTCTGGCACTGTCTTTCAAAAGACTCTGGGAACTTTGAAAGGAAGGACAAGGGTTATGCGTGATTATGAGGGTGAAGAAATTCAGTCAGCTTTTGCCTCAGTCTTTTATGAAGGTATAACTGAGGGATTGCAGCCATTGCCAGCCGCAGAGTGTATCTGTAGCATGTCGCAAATATGTGAAGGTGAAGAGTGTACAACATATCGAGAGGCTTTAAGTTACATCAGCTTGTCTTCGACTGTAAGTAACAGCTGAAACTGCAAAGTTTCTTTAGGTGAAAGCTTGGCCTATCATGTGATGTGATGTGTTATTAAGAAAAGTTATGGTGAGGCTATTGAGCTTGCATTGACATTGTCTCATTACCCAGCTCCACAAAAGGTTTCTTTGTGGGAGGCTCTTGCAAAGTTGTGATCTACAGCTCGGGGTTACAGACTATCTTAAAGCCAAAGCCATGCTTAGCGGCTATTATTTTCTCAGGTGTTCAACAGATTGCAACCTGTGTAGAAAAGCAAACTTTCAGAAGTAAGCTTTTCACCTCATCCACCTACCAATGCTTTCTCGCTCAGATGCGTAGGAGTCGTCCTCCTGTTGTGTGCTAGCATGCTAGTGCTAATGAGGCCAGCTGTCCAAACGCTCAGCCGGTCAGCCAGAAGGGACTGCAGCCTTTGTTGATGCTAGGTGTTACATCTCCTGTTGGAACACACACTTTTGTTTCAACACCGCCAACCATTTGGCACAGGATGGCCGTCTCTGTTCACCCCCTCACACACACACCACCAGCACCACCCGCCGTCCTTTACTCTTTCTCTCACCCTCTTTGCTGTACTTTGCAGCTCCCACTTTTATTGTCCCGCTCGCCGTTGCCACCTCCCGTCTGCACACACCAGCACATTGATTTTCTCTCTACAGCTTTATAGTTGATCATTTTCTCTTGACACTGCTGGCGGAGAGTGTTGCCTTTGTAATCGCTGACCTCAGCTCCACACCTGAGTGGCTGTGGCCCTAAACAGCCTCTCAGACTCATCCTAAAGTACCTTCTGTTTCAAAATGAAGTGTTGCACCCTGTTTGGGCTGCTGCTTGGACAATACATCACCTGGCAGAGTTGCCCTACAGAAAAGACAGACATAGGGAGAGGGAGGCAGTGTAAGGCAGAGAAGAAAGAAGAGAGAGAGGAATAAGTACAAACTAGTTCATACAGTCTCACAATGCGATGTAAAGCTAATTAATTATCAGTTTATTTGAATGGGATCTAAGCTTTGTGGCTCCCAGGTCTTCAATTGTTCTATTGGCTTCCCTGTTAGGAACCTGAAACAGATTTAAGCATGTTGTCTGGATAGCAGTCCAGTTACAAAGGATGTGCACAACCCAGTGACTGAGCTGAATGTGTCTCTTGACAACTACAATAGCATTCACATCATGGTAAAGAAAAAGCAGGTAATATTGTGGAGTGAAAGAGTGGAAAGAGGTTGCGAATGAAATAGCTCTCGTGATGAACCCCGATAGGATTTCGCAGCTGCGGCACAGCAGTGATGACCCTGTGAACGACTCGCCAAATAACAGTGTTTCTCCCTCCTCCTCCGCCACCTTTCATCCCTCCCGCCCCCACACCTCCTTCCTCCCGCCTCCCCCTCAGCCTGAACCTTGCACGTCTACCGAGTGTGTGTGAATACCAACCGGTTGTAATGACCTGCACAATGCAGAGAGAAAGGGAGAGACCTCACCGAAACAATTCTCATTGATTGAAACGGAGGCTCACGATTCTCCCAGATACGCCTCCTCCCCGACAAAAAACATTTGCAGCCACTTCAGAAAGAGGTGGGCGAGTGGGGTTGGGGAGAGTGAAGATAGACTGGAAAAAAAAAAAAAAAAAACTGTTCAGGTGCTTTGTACTGGCAGTGCATATTCAGCGAGTGAATGCAGGTGGTGTGTGTATGTGCGAGTGTTGCGCGCAGCGTGTGTGTGATGCGAGATAAAGTAGCCGGAGAGGTAGTTTCAGTGCTGCAGCCCGGGCCCTCTGCTGACTGGGCTGCTCTCACTGGAGAATTGATTTGGCCTCCGAGAGGATCTGTAGCTCTCTCAGTGGAACAGAGGGATGGAGGAGGGGAGGAGGGAGAGAAATGGAAGGAGAGTGGGTGGAAGCAACACAGGTGGAATTGAGAGATGGAAGAACACGGTGGAAATGAAAAGAAGACACAGGAACACACACTCAGCGCACACACACACACACACACACACACGTCTGAAACAGACAGTCGGTCAGGAAAATTTACTCCCCGTAATAACCCTCTCTGTAGGCTGGCTGTCTCAGTGTCTCCTGGCTCCTCCAGCCCATAACACAACCGACCAGGTCACACCGACTCCCACACAGCGCACACACCACTTCAGCCTGCAATCTAATGATCTCACACACCGGTTCTGTGTGTGTGTGTGTGTCTGCACGTCTAAGTGTGAATTTTCTCCGTTTCTCTGCAACATGGAGCCTGTTGTTCTGGAGTTAGTTTTTACTCTCGGAGTCATATCTTCAGTTTTACTACACCGAACCATCAAAAACTTGGGCTGCATTATTTTTAACAGCCCCCATTCACTGTGTTAGTGCTACAGCCGTTTTATTCTCTCCTGCTTTAACAACCCTTTTTTTTCCCATGGGGGTCATTTCAAGTTTCATCTAATCTATTTAAGTTGGGCCGTGGCTTGTTTAATTGGTGTTTCCAGCTCCCTGCCCCCTCCTCCTTCAACCATTCCCTTTAATAGTTTTGACATTTAAATGACATAGTACATATATTTAACCTCCCCAGCTCATAGCCTTTCACATTCAGCGCTCATAATTAAGAAGCACATACAGTACACCTCCCATTATTTTTATAACAGATAAAAATACTAACTGTGTGTAGCTTCTTCACTCTCCTTTAAAGAAGAATAAAAAAAATAGACCAGTCATTCTAACCTTTGTCCCTCCTATCTCTCCTTGTGCAGTGACTAACTACAATAATGTGGTGGAGCCCGGCTCAGACTCGGATGACGAGGACAAGCTGCACATCGTGGAGGAGGAAGGCAGTCTGGCGGATGGGGCCGACTGCGACAGCGCCCTGCCAGACGACGAGCACCCGAGGGAGCACTGCTGGGAGCGAGGTGAGAGCGTAGGGCGTCTTATTATTATCACATATTGAATCATGCAAATACGCCCCTCGTCGTCCTACCCGCCGCTTCGTTACTGAAACATGCTCCACTTTTCGGCACTGCGGAAAAGTTCAACACAAGTGCTCAGTTAATCGTATTTTCTGCTTCTGAATCTTATTTTCATAGAATGTGACAAATCACGCCAGTGACAACAACAGCAATCGATTCACTAGTTGCCAAAATTGCCTTTAGACAAGTGCCAGTTTATTGAGTCAAGGTAAAGCGGGGTCTTTCATGCCACTTGTATCCTCAAAATGACACTGGCAGATTGTTCACTTCGTTTCAAGTATCAGAGCACAAGACGTTTTAAGATATATATTTTTATAGCATGTGTCTCTTTTCACTGTCAGTCCTGCCATCGTCAGCCTGGCAAAGTATCTCTGAATGTCATACTCATTCTTATCTGCTCAGAATAAGAGCATCACTTACAAATGCCTCCAGCACATAAATGCAAATGTGTCATATAGCCTCTTTTTTGTTTTTTTTTTTTGTTCAGTTCGACTGTTGCTTCATTCTGACCTCAGAAATACCTCAGTGACATCTGTACACAGTAAAGTACCAGGCTTTGTCTCATTGTGAAACAGAGTGTAAGGAAACAGGTACTACATGCAGAGGGTTTCCAACTAAGGCAGGAAGCATGATATTAAACAAAGACAATGCCAACAGAGGGAGAGACCTTCAAGTACAGAAAATAGCCTTGCGACCAAAGAGCCAGCGGAGAGCTTTACGGCACGGGTGGGCATTGGAGGGGCCGCCGTGAACTTCTTTTTACCTCAAACCATGTGGAAGTGACACCAGAGGCAGCTCACTGCCACAGGAAGGGCTGACGTCACGGCCCCCCTCCTCCCTCCAAAACAACAATTGCAGGTGCTGAAGGATGTTGGTGTTTCAACCTGAGCTCAAGGCCTCTGTGCTGCGCTGCTGACCTCATACTGCATGTGTATATAAATCTGTGTGACGCTGTTAGTTTCGAGCTGGTGCCAAATATGTGCAACACTCTGACAAGCCCATATGAAAGGGAATTAGATATTCAACCGCGAGTATATTTATTTTTGGGTGTTGCTGCTTGCAGATTTTGGCTGGATTTTTCACGTGTGAGGGATGTGAGTCTGTGGGGACTTTGATTTAGCAAGAGGTCAGGTTAGCACATGTGAAACTGTCCAGTGACATATCACTTTCAGTTAGGGAGGGATTTTTGGAAATTCCTGTCCAATTAGTACCTTCAGTTTCAGTTGCATGGTTTCGGTTGCACAGGCTCACATACATGTACACAGTCAAACCGCAGACCTGTGCTCAGTGCAGCCACCTATTCCCCAGACTATGCTGTCATTTTCATCAGTGTTGTCCAGCTGTACCTCCTTGCATAAAGGGAAAGTTGAAGGAAGAATAATGTCATTGGTTTTGGCCGGGACTCGTGAACATTAAACACTTCAAAAGCATGAGTTACACTGAAACAGCTCAGTGAGCTGGCTGCGCTCCACAGTTATGCCTGATCAGGCATATTTTCTTTTGCCTTCACTCATGCACACGTACACACACATGCACACGTACACACACATACACACGTACACACACACACGTACACACCCACACAGACAAAGACACACACACACACACACACACACACACACACACACACACACACACACCTCTTTCTCACGCTCACTTTTTCTCTGGCCCTCATCTCATACATCAAGCAGCATCTTAGCTGTCACTCTGGATCGGACTGATGAAACACGGGAAAGCCACAGTGCTTTAAACAAACATCTTTCGTCTCTCATCCCTTCATCCCTCCCTCTGTTGGTTTCACTCTGAGAACAGAGTGTCTGGTGCAGCCTTGAAAAGTGACCACCACCCACTAATCTTCTCTTCAGTGTAGCCCGGTTTGCTTCAAATTAAAGCCTTGACACCCCTTCTCCTGAGACTTCTGCGCTCCAAAACCATAAAGGTGGTTTTTCAGCACTTTGCCATCTCTCCTTTCCTTTTCTTCCTTCGCGTCCTTTTCTTTTTTTACACTCTGTCTCTGTTTCTCTTGTTCTGAATCATTCCTCCTGATTATATGGTATCATGGGCCCCCTGCTCGCTGTCATTACTCATTCACTCCTAAATGATTATGTAGTGGTGGAGCAGCCCAGTGTTGGTGCAGTAAACTGCAGCCTGCTCTCTTCTAAGAACAGGCTGTCTAACTCCAGGGGAGGAAAAGGTAGAGAGAGCGTTGACCTGGGAGGGCTGCTGCTTTACATTTAATGAGTTGTAGAGCATGATTACATCTCAGAGAATGGGCAGGGTGGAGCTGGAGAGCTTTGATATTGCGAGGTTCCAGTGGCACTAAATGACAGTGAAAGGCTGAGTTTCACTGTGTGGAAATATAGACTTTAGAAGAAGCTGGTTGTATGTTGAATCTGTATGACAGGCACTTCTGCCGTTCCGCTTTACTGCTTATTCCAAACTGCAGTGAAGTTGCAGGGCTTCCCATTGCAATGACACTTTCTGTATACACACTGTTTCCTCACTGTTGGCTTGACATGGAGTGATGAGGGTTGATGTTCCATAAAATTTGCCACAAATCCATTTGGAACATTTTTGCAGCTCTGTGGATGCGCAGGAACACCTACATTCCTGTGTGACTGATGTCATGCTGTGATGGTAAAACTGAGCCACCCCTCTGCACAGGAAAGGAAGAATCTCGAGAGGATTGGAAAGACCGTCCAGTGAGGACAAACAGCACAAATATTTGATAGCTCTGAGCCAAGAATAAGCAAATCATCCTGGATTTGGAGATACCTCACATGTCCTCTCTGACTGACCTCCTGTTGATTGGTGATAAAGTAGAACACCTTTTCTAATGACTGAGGAATATTTGAATTGTTTGTGTGAATCCTGATTGCTGATTTACGTCTCTTATCCAAGATAGAATCTACAAACGGGTCTGGCTGCACAACCACAGGAAGCAGTGAGGGCAAAGGTTGGCCAGGGCAGGAAATGCATGATGGGATACTTTTGTATCATGTTGCAGTGATGTGGGCAGAGAAGGATGAGAAAGGAGCAAGGGAAAGAGAACAGCAGAGAGTGGGTGGTCTGGTGATTTTGTTCGAAGACGTACTGTAGTTGAGTTACACTGTGCAATAAATACAGAACAAACTACTTTTTTAGATCAGAGCTGCAACAGAACGTCCTGCTACAACCTCACGGGGCCTGAGTTCTGGAGCTTTTTAAACTGATTTTCTAGTTGTGCAGTGGTGCATTCACATCCCTGCGTCAGCACATAAATGGCCTGTGTGATGTTTCATGTCAGGGGAGCAGCCTGATAACACGGAGCCACCTCAGCAAGGCTGTGAACTCCTCTGGCCTGGCTCTGTACTTAACAAAGAGCCGAGACACACACACACACACACACACACAGAGTGAAAACAACAGCTTGTCATACCTTTGCACCACAGACCCCCAGCTGGGACTCTACTTCACACACATGCTCAACATTTTGTAGCCTAGAGGTTTGTTTGTGTGTTTGGTTGCTGCCTTTGAGCGCGGGAGCGGATCTAAACACAGTCTGATCAGCACTTCCCCACATGTAACACATGTTTTTGAGTATTTTTCTTGACAACAGCCAACATAGCTGTGAAGAATAGGTTGTTAATTTAAAAGAGAGGTTTGACATTTTGGGAAATACGCTGGTTCGCTTTCTTCTTCAGTACCTTCAATACATTCATATCTGTCAGTTAGGTATAAGCCTACAGCCAGCAGGCCATTAGTTTAGCTTAGCGTGAAGTCTGGAAACATGGGAAACAGCTAGCTGGTCCACTTTTTTTAACCCAGCAGGCGCTGGCTAGGTATTGAATTTCCCATCTAACCCTTGGTCAGAAAGCAAATCAGCGTATTTCCCAAAAGTCTGCCTTTAAGATGCTGTGAAAAATGTGGTAAACATGTCTACGGGTGTTACTGATGCTGTTGAGGTCATGGGAGAAAAACTCAGTGTTATGTGGGGGTTGTCAGCCCCATATGTCAGATGAGAATTCCATAATCGGACTTTCTCAGCACCTGCTTCTGGCTCCTGCTTTACATACACATGTTCACCAACAGACAGCTTCTTTCTCTGTATAATCTCTCTCGGGCTTGTTACAGGGCGGGAGGTTTCTTCAAACGGTCTTTAATAACCATAGCAACAAATGACAGCGCTCATATTGTTTTGTGGCTTTGTTAAGGTGCACCAGAGGAAGCCAGAGTACGGCTGTGTGTAAGAGTACTGGTATTCACTGTGTGTCGGTGAGTCATGAAGCGCTACACCTGTTCCCATCTCCGAGGAGAACACAGCTGGCCCTGTCCTTCAACACACACAATTCACAAAACACAATTCTCAAATCTCCGCTAAGCAGGGGGAAAGTTTAAATCAATCTATAAAACATCTGCCCAGTAAACACCACTACAGTATCCACAGTAGGCTAACTTTGCTTTTAGCTGATAGCTCACCATTGTAATTATTCTCTGTAATGATACACATAGGCACACTAACATATCCATAGAGGAATAATGCTCTGTTTAATTGCCGACATGCTATACCTGGTTCCGGCAGCCACTTCAGGAAGCGCTGGGAGAGCAGAGATAGAACGAAGGAAGGAAGCTTTCATGCATCCCAAAGTCCATCCTCAGGTTACACTTCCTATAAGCAGCAGCTTGGTAATTAGTGATCGTTAGTACCTAGCCAGGCTCATGTGATGTGGAGGAAGAACACACTCGGCTCCCACATGCAGGTTCTCATTTACTGGGATATTAAGCACAGTCTGAAGGCCAAGCCCCTCCAGAGAACAAAGTGAGGTGTGTGTGTGAGTGTGTGTGTGTATGTGTGTGAGAGAGCATCCGTTCCTGCATCAAATCTATCCGCTGCAATACATCAGGACAAGATTCATCACCTAATTATCAGTCCCAGTCTCAACAAGTACCTTACCTAACATTGTGAATAGAGGCTTGCCATTCAGTTTCTACAAAGGGCGTGATGCTCATACAGTAGCCTCTGGCCTCTGATGCTAATTAGTTTTCTCATCCTATTGTGAACAGCAGCATTCAGGATGTTGTTTTTTTTCCCTTGACACACCACTCCTCATTCCATACTGGTAAACATTTAATGATCAAGAGTCATTAAAGACTGTAAGATCCAGTTAAGCCATGACACTTGCTGTAACATTATTGGACTATTGCGTTTCATATACAAAGGTTAAGGTTTCATATGTACAGCCTGCATCAATAGAAAACATGTGGTGAAATAACAGGGTAATCAATAATACCTTTTTGCAGGCATGACTGTAATCAGTGTGTGTTTGTCCCTTCACAGTGAAGGAGGATTGTGTTTCGGATGGGGAGGATGACGTGAGCACGGACGCCCTGGTAGAGGAGATGCTCCAGCAAGGAGACACAGCCGTCATCTACCCAGAGGCTCCGGATGACGAGCCTCACCGTCAGGGCACCCCTGACACCAGTGTCCACGATGAGAACGGTACGGCATCTTTATTAATAGGGCACACCAGCAAGGGGCCGTATCACTAAATCACACATACACGAGCTAAAACACACATCACTATTTCCACTCACAGTCACTGAGCTCTCACACTATTACTGCACCTAGTAATTACTCTCCCCCTGGGGATGGCTCTACCTGCTCCCCGTCTCACCTCAGGTGTTAACTCCACCCCATTAGAGCCACTCTCCGACATCATTACACACACCGCTATTTGTTAAGGGCGGCACACAGGGGCCTTTATGGCTCGCGGGCTTTTGGCTTTTACCTGCTACCACTGAGGGGAAAAAGGAGAGGGAGGAGGGAGGAGTGGGGGGGGCATTAGGGGAGGAACAGAAACAGTAACACCTGGGTAAATTTGTCACGTCTGTGCGAGCTCTGACTCACAGCTACCTGGGTGATAATGTGTGTGCATTCCCATCTCGAGGCCCTCACCTGTCCCGCAGGGGAACTTAATACATCACCTGTTAACACAGTAATGCTTTACCTGTGTGGGAGCCAGGCAAATGAGACCCTCTGTTAACCAGCTTGGATCCAGGCGGGTGGCTTGTATTTACCAAGCTCACTTTTCCTTACATGCGTGGGTGTTTTTGAAACGCTTTTTACGCACAATAGGCAATCAAATTATGGAATTTAAAGCGTGTGAAAGCTGTAATCATTGGGCTTTGTGTCAGGAAGAAGTACAAAAGAAAAAATGAAATGCAGTCCTCCAATGGTAACCCAGTCTGCTATTTTTTTACAAAGAAAAGATCAGTAATCAGTTTTTATTCATCTGGTTACCTGGGTACTGTTTACCTGTGAGGGAGGATCTGTCAGTGATTGGTGAAATAGCATAGGAGTGTTACTGTGGGCCAAGTGTAGCATCAAAGAGCCCTCCCTATTGACTGGGTGTTTTTAACCCTGTCTTCTCCTCCTACTTCATTCTCACATATGTCATTACAGCTCTTTTCACTTTTTTCAACCAGGAACTCCTGATTCGTTCTCCCAGCTGCTCACCTGCCCGTACTGTGCACGGGGCTACAAGCGTTACAGCTCCCTGAAGGAGCACATCAAGTATCGGCACGAGAAGACCGAAGAGAGCTTCAGCTGCCCCGAGTGCAGCTACAGCTTCGCATACCGCGCTCAACTGGAGAGGCATATGACAGTCCACAAGAGTGGACGGGATCAGGTAAAAACCACTTCAGCCACTAGTTAAGACTGGATACTGCCACCTTAAAATATATACGTATCAATCTACACTTTTCTTTTTCAAATATTTATAATTTGTTTAAGTAGAACTCATATATTGCTGTGGTAATCATGGACTTACAAAGTCAGAAAATGCAGCTCCACGTTGCTTGGTCTGTTTTTTTAAGCAGCCTCCAAAACATGATAAATAAACATGAACTTTTGCCCTTGATTGATTAATGACACAGTGACATGAATTAGTCGCAGTTCAAAGGTTGTGTTTTCATTGTGTATCTCACTGAATGACCCCTCTCTCCTCATCTGACAGAGACACATCACACAGTCGGGAGGCAATCGTAAATTCAAGTGCACTGAATGTGGCAAAGCATTTAAATACAAGCACCATCTGAAGGAGCACCTACGCATTCACAGTGGTAAGTGGACGACCCCCTGTCACCATGGCAGCATATTGTGTGCGTATGGGTGTGTGCATGCACGTGAGCAGGTCTGATGTACACGTCTTTGCTGTGCGTCTCTGGTGGTCACAGATGTTTCATTCTCCACTGAACCAATATTTATGTTTTATTTATGTTTCAGTCAATTCCCTGTATTTAGATATCCTTCATCTTGTTTTAGTCCATTGTGTGCTCTTCCTTAATGTGCCATAATTGTGTTTCTTTTGGCATTATGGGACAGCAATTAGAGAAGGGCATTTCCCAATGGTGCCATTACATCAGCGTTTAAGCATCATTGAAATGCATTAGAGCTTTTTCCTGTCGTACTGCTCATAGCCTAGCTTGCTCATTTAGCTTCATTCACTAATGGAAATCTGTTTCTCCCCCCCACCTCTATCTTTCTCTCTGTTATACACGTGGCTTTATTCAGGAGAGAAACCCTATGAGTGCTCCAACTGCAAGAAGCGGTTCTCCCACTCAGGCTCATACAGCTCCCACATCAGTAGTAAGAAGTGCATCAGCGTCATCTCAGTTAACGGCAGACCACGCTTGGGGAATGCCAAAACGCAGACCCAGGGTCCATCACCAGTGCTGCCCACACCACCCTCAGTCCTCCGCACTCAGATTCGGGAGAAGCTGGAGCACAGCAAGCCCCTGCAGGAGCAGCTGCCCCTCAATCAGATCAAGACTGAACCTGTGGACTACGAGTACAAGCCAACAGTGTTAACATCCCCAACTGTGACCGCCATGAATGGTGGCGTTTTCAACGGAGGTGCTGCAGCTCCCTTGCAGGGCACAGTCCAGGCCGTGGTCCTGCCCACCGTGGGGCTGGTGTCGCCCATCAGCATCAACCTGGCAGACCTGCAAAATGCTCTCAAAGTGGCAGTGGATGGGAACGTCATTCGTCAGGTGCTGGAAAACAATGCCAAAGGCCAGGTGAACTCGGGGTTAACCACTGGAACGCTCCACACCCCACAGCAGCAACTCATCTCAGCCATCAGTCTGCCTATTGTGGGTCAGGATGGAAATGCAAAAATCATTATAAACTACAGTTTGGACCCCAACCAGGGCCAGCTCACAGCCCATAACCTGAAGAAAGAGCCAGAGCCAATGTCACCGTCTCAGACCACCGCCGACACATTCAAGTCCCAGAAACTTCCAGAAGATCTCACTATCAGAGGCAACAGGGCTGATGAGACTAAAGAAATAGAGGAAAAGACCACTAAAACTTGTCTCCTGTGTGATAACTGTCCTGGGGGGCTGGAAGCATTCCATGCCCTCAAGCACTGCAAGAAGGATGGTCTCAGGCTGAACGGAGCAGGCCTGGATAAGTCAGAGTCTGCTGTCGCTGCCCTGCTGTCAGAAGGAGGACTCTGCAACCAGCCCAAGAACCTCTTGTCGCTGCTCAAGGCCTACTTTGCCTTAAATGCAGAACCCACCAAGGATGAGCTGGCCAAGATTTCCGACTCAGTCAGCCTGCCAATCCACGTGGTAAAGAAGTGGTTTGACAAAATGCAGGAGGGTCAGATATCACTGGGTGCCCCAACACCTCCCTCAGAGGAAGAGGACACCTGTGAAGCCAACAGTGTGGTGTCTCTGGTTCCAGGGAAGGACACAGCCACTATAAGCCCCTCTGTGACCCAGGACAGCCCTACAGAAGCTACTCCAGCAGAGGTCAACGGCACTCACAGTTCACCGGCCTCCCCCTCGCCACTAAACCTGACAGCTGGCGGTCCCATCCCAGCCGAACACCCCCAGAGCACTGAGGGACCCCTAGACCTGTCGCTGCCAAAGCCAGCCAGAGAGGAAGCGGAGAGAGTGGTGCCTAAAGCCCGCGTTTACCCCTTCCCTTCCTCTGGCTCTACCAATGAGGATGAACCCCTGAACTTAACTTGCACAAAGAAAGAGGCTTCACCACTCTCAGCCATGGGCACAAGCCCCATCGCACTGTACGCCAGCCAGCCAAGTGCCAAATCTGTCGACATTGTGACCACAATGCAATGCTTAAGAGCACTAGCCACCAACAACAAACAACAGACTATCCTGATCCCCCAGCTGGCTTACACCTATACCACTACAGCAAACAGCCCTGCAGGGACCGAGACGCACGAAACCATCCACCTAAACGGAATCAAGGTGTGCTGCCATTTATGTACCTTGTAGCTTACCTGTCTGTGTTTAAAGTATAGTTTGACAATTTGGCATATGATGTCACTGGCATTTTGATGAATGTCAAGCTACTGCCAGTAGCCAGTTAGCTTAGCTTAGCACAAAGACTGGAAACAGGGGAAACAGATGCTCTGTAAGAAGGTTACAAAATTAATAAGGCTCGCTAATTAACATGCTACATCTAATTTGTGTACTGAAGCTTAAAAACAACACATTGTGGTTTTATAGGTGGTCATGTGCTGGATGAATTTTTCACTCTTTCATCACTGAATTTGCCAGTTAGTGCAGATATAACCTGAAAGATTTAGACTCTCTGGTGTCTATATTTTATTACATTTTGTCAGAGCCAGAGGAGCTGATTACTCTGTTTCCTGTTTTATAGTAAGCTAGGCTCGGTGGCTGGTGATAACTTTATACTCCCCACAGACACAAACTGCTAACAGTTGTTTCTAACCAAAGTCTAACTCTAAACCATGTTTCCTGAAATTTGAAACTATTACTTCAAGTCACTACTTTTCAGTTGCTGTGTGGCCTTCTGTATACAAAGGACAATATTTCAAAGTGTCTGTAGCTTCTTTTTTTTTTTTTTCCTTTTCTCGGCATTTCAAACTTTTTGTTCTCTGGTTTTGTGGTGGTTAGCCACAGCAAACAGATCTGACTCCTAACCAATTGATCTGCACATAGTTCAGAAAAGGATTCAGTGTCTGATCCAGCAGCCTTTTCAAGACGCAAGCGGATTGAAATCAAGTTGGTTTTTATCTTTGTGGAGCGATCAGTCAAACCATTCAGTCCAGACACGGTCCAGATCATTGCTTCTTATTGTTCAGAACCACTAAAACATGATGGATAGTCTGAAACCATCCAAAATCTAATCAATAAGTCATATATAGAAATGTCAAAATTCAGCTCTTTGTAAAAATGATAGCCCTTAATAGTTCTTCATTGTGCAGACACCTAATGGGCCTGTAATGATGGATGTAGATCTCTGGGTGTGTGAGTGATCTTCCTGGGCTGTCACCCAGAGGACATGAGGCTGCACTTTACTGCACAGTCCCTATTGATCTGTTGGAATCTGTTTAAACGCCGCACCTCTGCCTGCCACATTGATTTATTGTTGTTGTATTATACTTTTGTGTTAAGTGGATTGGCATAGACCTGCCTTGTAAAAAAAAAAAAAAAAAAAGCCCTGTGTATATATCTGCTCCTTAATAATGCCAAACATCCTCTTTGACTGTAGCAGCTGATGAGTTTTAGCAGTCGAGGGACAGCAGGACAAACCTGTGGGTGCGTTTGGTGCATCTGTTCAAGGAAAAGATTGGTAGAGTTCTCAGTGCTATGAGTAGGATGTGATTCAGAATCATTTCCTGCAAAGTGTGCATTCACTGGTTACTGAGTCATTAATTGTGTTTTTGCTGTAAAACAATAATTTTGCATTCCTAGCAGTGTGTTAATGTGACTTCTCATATTTCCCAGGAGGAGAGGCAGGACACGGGCTCAGACGGTGTTTCCACGATGGAGGAGCAGAACGACTCAGACTCAGGCCCTCCGAGGAAGAAGATGAAGAAGACGGACAGCGGCATGTACGCCTGCGACCTGTGTGACAAGATCTTCCAGAAGAGCAGCTCGCTGCTGAGACACAAATACGAACACACAGGTAAATATAAACTCTCATGTGTTTCCCAGGCCTACACATGAACACAGCCAAAAATCACAGATGGAATCTAAAAAAAAAAACAAAAAGAAAAACAAACTCAGAACCGGAACTTGTCTCACCATCTCTCACTGTTGGGTCCTGGGAAAGATGAGTCAGAGTGCGAGGGAAAGGGGGATTTCAAGCTTCAGCGTAAAGAAGGGTGGACACCTCCATTCCAGCAGGTATTACTCAACATGCACAGAAGAGGTCTGAGAATTTCTTTCCGCCAACTCCCCACCTCTGCACTGCCAGCTTCTCATGTGAAGTACCAAATGTTGCAAGAGGCGAGCTCTGGTAGTGATTTGGACCGCTTTAAGATGATGATTCTGTGGCCAAGCTCAGGTCAACGTTCTCAGAGGCGTTTTAGATTTTTTTTTTTTCTTTATTACTCTGATACCTGGCTTGGAACTACGGTTTTCAGCTCCAAATGACCTCATCCTAGGTGAAACTAGCTGCTCCCTGCCTGGATGAGGTTTCCTTGAAAGTTTTGAAGCACGATTGTTGTGATTTTGTTGTACTGTTTTGAAATGTTCTCCTTGGATACATTGATGATAGATAATGTTTTCAGTTTTCAGGCTTTGGCACCTTTCACACAACAATGTGGGGGATTTGCTGTGATTGCGCTGGAGTGTTTGTTGTTTTCCTTCCATGTCTGTGCTTTTTTACTCAACACAAATTCAGCCTTTCTTAAATATGTTGACGCGTATTTGTTTTCTTTTTGTCTGCAGGGAAGCGACCTCACGAGTGCGGCATCTGCAGCAAGGCGTTCAAACACAAACACCACTTGATCGAACACATGCGGCTCCACTCGGGGGAGAAACCGTACCAGTGCGACAAGTGCGGCAAGCGCTTCTCCCACTCGGGCTCCTACTCCCAGCACATGAACCACCGCTACTCTTACTGCAAGAAGGAGACGCAGAGCCAAGCAGGAGGACAGGAGAGCCCCGAGGAGGACAGTGAGGCCCAGGCCGAGATGGAGGCCCTGAGCCGATTGCAGAGGCAGCTCCTGGCCCCCTCCCAGCTGGACTTGGATGAGCGAGGGAGCAGCACCAGGGAGGACGAGGAGAGCGAGGAGGAAGAGGAGGAGGAGGAAGGCGTGGTGGACATGGATGATATCCAAGTGGTGCAGATAGGGGATGAAGGAGGGGATGAGGAGGAGGAAGCAGAGCAAGAGGAGAGGAATGAGGAGGAGATTGAGAGAGTAGTGGTAGAAGGGGAAGGAGAGGAGGAGAAAACGGAGATAGAAGAGAAAGAGGAGGCTGACACAAGGCAGGAGGAGGTGCTCGGGAGTGTTCAGGAAGAGGAGGAGGTCAACATGAAGGAAGAGGAGGCGATGGATACAGAAGGAGGGATGACTGAAGAAACAGAGAGGGAGGTCACAGAGGAGAGCGGAGGCGAGAACAGGAACACGGTTTCTGAAGACGAGAACCAGACGCCGCAGGAGAAAGGAGATACTGACTAAAAGGGGAACCAGACTCCTCCATGAGACACAATCCTCCTCCTCCTCTCCCCGCACAGAGGAAGAACACAGGAGATGAAGTCTGGTCACTCTGACAGTTCGTTTCAGTTCACTACTGTGTAGAAATCCAGGTGTGCCTGAAAAAATACTAGTGACTTTTCCACAGGAGAACGATTTCTCACTGTTAGAAAAATCCATTTGTAAAGAAAAAGATGAAAACGAACACAAATTTTAACAAACGAAGGACATGCATTATACAGACTTTGGAAGCTAGAGCCGACACGTTTTAGATAATGTTTTATTACTAAAACACCTTGGGTCATTTCTTTTTATCAGTGTTACTAATTTTATCACTCATATTTTAACCTTTAAAAGCTGTACAGTTGGGAGATATTTCTATATCTTTTTATTGCCAATGAACAAAAAAAAAAAGTCAGTATTTTGTTAAGTTGGAAGGAAAATAAGAAAATCCTGTGCACTACAAGTGGCTTGGTTTACCTATGGATTGAGCAGTTGAGTTGTGTTGTCTACCCTTCAGTATTACCACGCTAGATATACCATGCCATCACGCTAGCAGGCGTTAGCATTACAATTATTTTTTTGTGTCGTTTTGATTGGACTGTGAGCCTTAAGAAGAAAAACAATGACGAATGGGCCGATCTTTTCAGCGTTTAGTTCCTTTTAGACTTATAGATACCTTTTCTTTTTTTTTTTTATTAAAAGAAATCTGTGTTTAATAGGAATCGTTTGACATTTTGGGGAATAAACGTATTCATTTTCTTGATGACAGCTTAATCAAAAAGATAAATAACACTTTGTTTGTCTGATAAATGTTCGGCTACAACCAGCAGCTTCTTAGCTCATTACTGCTGTAGCCGGACCGCAGTTTAGCTTAAATACTGGAAACCTACTAGCACTGTTAAAGTTCACTAATTAACATGTTGTTTCTTGTTTGTTTAATCTGTACTGTAAAATAGTTTGGCACATAACCCCCCATAAAACTGCAACTTGTCATTACACATCTAAACAGGTTAAACAAGATGCAGCATGTTATTTTTTTAGCTTTCGGGATGTTCTTTGGTTGCATTTGCTACTTTAACGCCTCATTTCCACATAGCTCAGTGTACGACTCAACTGTAACGCCACCCAGTCCAATGGGATTGATTCCGTTGTGATCTCTGATGTGTTGATGCGCCTCTCTCACATGGATGTGCACAAGTTTCCATCAGTCCGTGAGGAAATGCCTGTCCTTGCGTTGAACACTAGAGGACGTACTTTGGATAGCATGCAGAACTATGAACATAAAAAGTGGAAACAAGGCGTAATGCCACATTTCCAACACGGCTCCATGTATGGATTTGGGAAAAAATTACAACTTTTGTGAGGTATTTCCTACCAGTATGAGCAGGAAGTTGGAAAAACTAATCAGCTAACAGACCAACAGGCTAGTCAGCTGCTTGCCTATATTTACCGTCAAACTACAATTATAAAGAAACTACTTTAGCTTGTTTAGCACAAGCAAGCTGGGTAGCCCCACGTTCATACGTCTTTGAACAACATATTCCATAAAACTGGCTCCACAACTGGAAGGCCGGCCTCCCCACGTCACAATGCTCCATGCAAAAATTTTGCAAAACTGGATGCTAAAAACTGAAAAATATGAACCTCTCTCTCTCATGGCTGCAGTGAAGTTTCCATCCATCCCCCGCAAAAAAACGCATTTGCTTGCGTTGAACACTAGGGGGCGAGGTCTGTAACGTCATACGGAATTAGTGTCCACATATCTCTATGTACGTACTAATTTAGCTTTTTTCCAGTTTAGAATTTCGAGTACGTTAAAAAATGATCACTTTGTTGTGGACTTTAGAGAAACTACACCGTATGTCAGAAAGGCTAACAGGCTGTTTAGCTTATTGACTATGTTGAGAGTCACATTTGAACTAATTTAGCACATTGTAGCGGTTTTTCCAGCCTCGTCACAGATTCTCACCATGCATTCCTTGTCCCGTTTATGTCACTGGATCATAAAGTAGATTCTACCGAATAGTCGCCAACAAGCAAAGCTATGTGGAAACGAGGCGTTTGACCAAACCAGGCTAGCCATTTCCCCTTGCCTCCAGTATTTAAGCTACGCTAACCGTCGGCTGTCATCAAGAAAGTGATTCAGCAAAAAACGTCAAACAAATGCTTTAATTGTTCAGAGCGAGAAGAAAGGGGATGTAGAAAACTGTCTGACCCTTCCTCTGTCTACCCCCACTCAGAGCCTTATGCAAAAAAAAACAACAAAACAAACAAAAAAAAACTGACTAAACAAGAGAAGCATGCATATCAAAGTGCCATTGAATATTGCTGTTGAAGCTTAGCAGCTACGATCAGGTATTGCCGGGTCCCAGATCAACCAATACGCCGGAATACTGTTGACTTTGTCTGGCCACCACACCTGAGAGAGTAGAACTTAGCCTACCACATACTCATGTCATAGGTTTTAGATGACTTGCTTTCATTTCTAATCTGAGCAACTAAAATAATTACAATGCACATTTCTTTTTTTTGTTGTTTTTCAAATGAATGATGAAAAAAATGGTTAACTGTGTCCTGCCTTTTCAAAGCTTATTCAGTGCACTTGTTTAACACACCATGAAATGCTCAGATGTCTCTTCAGGTAACAAAATGTAGGCAAATCCCAGGAGTTTAATTCAACAATGTTTTACCTGTCAGTATTATTTTTTTTTTTTTGTCTCTTATGTTTTATGTTCTGTTTCAGTGTGTGTACTGTATGTTTTCAGCAATGGCAGTATTATCCCCACCCCCAACGAGATGGGTATGTCTGTTTAGTCATAGAGAACTTTTATATTTATGTGTCTTATTTTTTATATTTCTTTATGGTTATTTATTACACTATGTAGTGTACAATACTGTAGTTTGTATTAATACGATAATATATTTTAGTATGGAAAAAAAAAGAATCAAAGGCAAATAACCACAAGCCTGGAAAAATAAGACTCCGGCATACTGAAGTATGTTTTTCGAACAAATGTAAGATGTTTTTCTTCGAGAGAAAAAAAAAAAAAGAGAAACTCGCACCCTGCAAGCCTGAAAATTGGAACCTGTGACCTCTCTGCATCCATTCTCATGTTAGTTTAGTTTTCTTTCCCCTCTCTAATATGAAGCTACTGAACTTTTGAAAACTAATTGTATGTCTAATAGCATGAGTGTGTGCTGTTGTATTGAAGGATGATCCTTAACCACGCAAATTGTCCTTTTTGCCAAGCCAAAATAATATTCACGTATGTTCTTATGTTTTTATTTGTGCCAATTTGTTACTTTATATGTCAGTGTCACGACCACGCCCCGTTTTATATGCCCCTCCCCTTTTAACACCCTCATCCTTTTTTTTTTATTGTGATTGTTTTTGTTTTTCTTTTTGTTCATTTTTTATGACTCCCCATCTCACAATAAAATACATCAATTACAAGCTGCTTGGTTTGTCTTGATGTTGTCATTGAGAGTTTAAAGATCACATTTTGCAATTTGCATTCTTTACAAATACAATCTGTAGAAGGGAACATTTCCAAAATATAAAACAAAACAGTTCAGAACATGCTGCTTAATAGCTCTTTGTTGAACTAATTTTACATGTTTCCTAGAAAAAACATTTCTGTTTGGTGGTCTTAAGTCTGTCAAACTTGGGTAAACACAGTGGACATGCTGTATGTTATAATTAGATTACATTAGTTCATGTAGATTGGTGTTGACAGAATGAGAAGATGATCCCACATCTTTGTGAAATTC